ATAGTAAGCAAAAAAGAAAGTTTGATCCTCGCCGAAAAACGAAATTGTTAATAACTCTTAAAATTTGATTTACCACATAGAGTACTCGGCGGTAAAAAAATAAAAAATAAATGAGATTGTCAACACGCAGTAGGGCAACGTGTCATTAATATAAAGGTTAGAAGCAAATATGAAACTCAACTACAGGAATAAATTTTTTTTCTGCCTTTTTGTATCACATTTATGCTACACCACCATCTATCGATGAAATTGGTTAACTATTGTACTTTAATTTAGTTTAGATAATATAAGGTTAATATATTTTGTATATATTTATTACGTTCTTTATGTAATACTTTTGTTTACTGCGTTTTAGATATAATTATATCATTATAGAACATTATTTTACATCATTTTATTATGATTTATAACATGATATTAATTTTAAAATGTACTTGATGACTCATCCAACGCCACTATTGAACAAATTCGTACCTATACTTAGTACCCATACTTCAGAATATTTGTCATAACTTTTGATGGAATTAACCAATTTTAATGAAATAAAGACTAAATGTAACCTGAATATACACTTAATAATTTCCTTAACTATTCTTATGATATAAATTAGTACTTTATACGTGATACGCTAACAAACAAACAGACAGACAGACAGAAAGACAGACAGACAGAAAAATCTAAAAATGGTAGAAATGTATTTAATTACTTATTTTTAGTACCTCTCAATCACTTTTATTACAAAAATATAAAATGTACAGACATCTGCTATTTACATTTTTATTATATGTATAGATTCAACCTTGGTAAGTACCTTTTTTAAAATTTGAATATCAATTGGTATTATCTTAAATTTATTTTATTCGTATGACAAATAAAATTAATCAAGACTAGAATAATTTATAATTATTAACAATAGAATACATAATGGGTATGAATAGTCAGAGCGCGATAGTCCCGGGGGACGGCGCATGCGCGTGATAGAATCCATCTAGCCTACAAAAGTCCATTGCGTAACATGGGCCTCCCCTATAGGTTGCCTCTTAAGCCGCCAAAGTTTTGTTGTCAACACAACAAAACATGTTTCCATTTTCGGCGGCAATATCAAAGGAATACGCTTGTTGCCAACATTTGTTCCCTCAGTGGAGACGCTTGTTGACAGAAACATTTGTTGGCAACACGTGTTGACAAATGTTGTGTTGGTAACAAAACTTTGATGGAGACGCGCCAATAGGGAGGATTTCGCCACACTCGGCAGGCGGGTTCAGGAAGATGATAACAATTTAAAATCACTTTTTTCAGTTTCCTTCTGTCGCCTCTTTTCTCGACACCCACGGGACAATATGGGTAGTAGATATTCCTACACGGATTTAAAGATAGTATATAAAAGCATGAACGTGGATTTTACATTTCTAAAGGAAGCGTATTGACTTTTCTAGTAATAAAGCATAGTTTTTAGTTTCTTAATGTCGTTGTACTACCGAATGTCTCTCGGTTGGCTACTATTTTAGCAAATTAGGGTAACCAGGAGCAACAGTTTGCGTTGAGCAAGGAAGAAGTAAACAACTAGATAAGTTGGTGTTGCTGTTGGTTTGCATATTTCGTATATTAATTTGGAGATGTTTTGTATTTACTTAACTGTGTTATTTGATTTTTATAACGTAAGAGTCAATACTGAGAAATATTCGTTTTTTTTTTTTAAAATAACTTCGAACTAATTTGTAAATCGCACGTGTCGGTGCGGCGCGACGCCTCGTTGCGGTCCACCGTACGACCATCTCAAGCGCGTAGGAAACCGGAGATGACCAAGGCTCCCGATCCGTTTAACCGCATACCGCATGTGAACACTTCCTCAAATCGTTGGAAATAAATTTTCTCATACACATGTAATTGTTCCGTGGATTTTTCATCAAAAGGCTTCCTTCCATGATGATTAAGATAACTGGTCAAATTGTATAGAAAGATGAACAATACGTGACAGTACTGATGTCATAAGTGATTTTATTTTGAATGCGGAATTTATAAATTAAGAAAATTCATGTACACATGTAAGCTAACAGATCTGGTTTCAAAGCGACGTACTGCCCATTGAAACCTTTTTTGAGACTAGCCGGAGATCAATTTACTCATTTCACCCTCCCAAAAATCATATCAGCACCTACGTGAATATTAAATAATAAAATAAATAAAAGCAATGAGTAGATCGGGCGTCGCCCGGCCCGCCACTGCTTCTAGCGGCTCGCGTTGTTCCAGATCTCTAATAGTGTAAATTTGTCGCAACAATGCGCGTGGGCCGCCGCCAATTACCTCGTTGTCCACAGCCCTCATTTGCGGCGGCTCGCGGAGCGCCTGCAGCCCGAGCCCAAGGGACTCGAGCGATCTCAATTCTCACTGGACATTTTTAAAATGAAAAATTCTTTAGAATCGAAATCCGATGAAAGGAAAAAGCTGAAGTATAATGAGACAAAACATATACATTTATAGGATTCAGCCTGCGAGAGAATGATAGAAAGCAATGTACAGTGTTTATTATATATTTATTTACATTTGAATTACATAAACTCTACAACTATCCTACCCCTACTCCTAATTATGCATTCGTTTTATTCTCTCGAAGTTTAGTTTTCTGAAGGTTCCACTTCTACCGCGTGTGAACTGCGCACATGATTTATAATTACGCTCCGCTTGTTGTTTAAGACTTCTTTCTCTTGAAATATTAAGTTTTACAATACTATTTTTATCGATTAAACCTTTTTATACACTCATTTCATTTCATACACATTGTATGATTTAGAATTCATTTTATAATATCCTCCAGACCGAATTTCATTCACGGCGGCCAGCCTCAACGGAGACTAGCCATCGACGCAGGACAGGATTATAGTGCCCAAGTGTATGCGCAAGCACAGGTGCAATCTCTATTCCCTCACTCTCATAGTCCGATGGGACGATAAACCAAGACGACCGGAGAGAGATCAGGCGTAGGACCAACGGCTTTACGTGCTTTCCGAGGCACGGGAGTGAGACACCGCCAGCTTCCTGACTCCGGGTAGCTATTGAGAGTTTCTTGATAGAAAAGCTCAATAACTGATTTTTTGGCCCGACCCGGGTTTGATCCCGGGACCTCATGACCAGCAGGCGCACTACTACAACCACTAGACCAACGAGGCAGTCAAGTTAGAATTCATTTTATTTAAAAATTGACAAAGGGTCTATGATAATGGCGAGAAGTCTAATACTACACAGATGTCACGCACTCCACGGATCTCCGCCCCCTATGGCTAAAGGCTGCATGTTCTAAAACATGGCAGTGTATAGAACAGTACAACTCTAGATGAAGAAATCCAGATTAATCTAGTATGCTCAAACAGATAGCGATGGAGCTTTATCTTAATATTATCTATACATAAAATATCGAGATCTACCGGTATTGCCAAAAAGGCAGCTAAGTGTGTTTATGACAAATTTCATATCCAGTAGATTAATTTTATATCCATTATTTACATGTTAAGGATGATACCAGAGTTCAGAAAAAGTTACTTGATATGGACAGGAAACTAACGTTCAAATTAGACTTGCGTCACGTTCCAGTGATTACAGCTGTCGTTCAAATGAAGGATGCTGTGATTGCTTCAATCGTCCTTACCGTTTATTGTAAACGTGTAAGCAAAATAATGAACTAATGTAAAAGAACTGCTCCCATTTGTTTACCTGTTCTTCATTTTTATCTAGCTCTGTTAAAAACTACGATGTTTTACGTTACCACATCTGAAAGACCCTTTGCGTCATTATAATTATAGGGAAAAAAACACTTACTTTTGCACACCTCGAACGCGAAGCGGAGAGGGTGGGCTGTAGTGTAGAATTTGTGGAATGTTATGGAAACCAAATGATTAGAAAGACGAAACACTAATGAACTCTTTTTTAATCCAACAACACGTATTGTTATACAAAAAGTACAATAAAAAAATATATCGTGGATGTCATTTAGTCTGTGGTTCATAAATTCCTCTGTGTACAAGATATCTCGAGAACTACTTAACAAAACGACCTAATTTTTTTTTCACTATTTTCAGAATTATGTAGAGCTGGTTCCTTTAGATAATCACTTTTGTAATCCATTTAAAATGTTCCATGAGCGTTTACTTTGGATTTTCCAAATATTTTTCGGGTTGAAGACATATTTCTCTTAAATTTTCAATTTCTCTTATTGAACGTGAACGCGAACATACATAGACCACACAGCGTCCAAAATCAATTTAGTTTACTGTGTAGATTCTTCAATTTTATCTGAAGTTTATGCCGATTAACTTGATGACATCGTTTCCTTATTTATTTCATTTCTTATGTAAGTAGAGGTGCTTATTCACAAGTGATTGGCGAGTAATTAGGCTAATGGTAGGGAACGCCAGCGCTCGTTTAGTCTCCACGTTCCTTTACCTTGATGATTGCCCTTGGACGAGCGTTCCCGTTTGTTATTACGCATCGAGTCGTCCGTGCTACGTTATTCTTTTTCCCCTCGTGACCTTTCTAACTCAGTGTTGCCTTTCAAATAGTAAAGATGTTAAGATTAATTAGCTAAGATCCGCGTAATAAAGTAAATGAAGTGTCTTACTTAAAACCTTGAAGACACGGCCACCACTAATCCTACCACCACTACTCCCAACGCCACTACACTAGGAGCGGCAAGCCATCGTCGATAATACGATACGGGTTTCGCTTCTAAACGAGGCGTCCTCTTGTGAAGTAGAATCTGCAGTGGCTGACCGCTAAGACCGCTACGATAGCTCAGCGGTCTTAGCGGTCAGCCATCGCAGAGTCTAGTCAGAACTAGGTTAGATAGACACATTTTGTTTTATTACGCGTATCTTAGTTAATTAATTTTAACATATTTAATATAATGAATTCCCGCAAAGTAAAGCCTGATTCCATTAATTACTTAAAAATAGTCTCTGTGCGTTGAGGAGAGACGGTAATTTGAGCGCATTTTGTCTGCACTTCAGGGCGAGACCATCTTCTCGTGGTACAGCGGGGACGAGGCGCCGCGTGTGGCGGACCGGTGGGGCGGGCGGGTGCGGCGGCTGGGCGGCGGCCAGCTGGGGCTCGGCCGCGGCTCCATCAACGTGAGCGCCGTGCGCGAGACCGACGCCGGCCTCTACCGTTGCCGAGTCACCTTTCCTAACCGTTCGCCGCCCGCTCGTAATAACGGCACCTTCTACTATCTGGAGGTGGACGGTGAGTAGCTTCTGTTCCTCACGCGCTTAGTGTTCTATTTCTTTCTATCTTCTTAGTTTTTTTTTTTTTATAGAACTAGGGTGACAAACGAGCACACAGTACATTTAATGGTACGTCAACGCTGTGGCCAACACCCATCCACATCTATCCTCGATCAAGAATCAAAATGCAGATGCATTGTCACCCCTAACGACTAAGGTGGAATGCTACGTTTACAGTAAAAAGGGTCATCGGTGCTCTAAACTCACCATACGAAACACAGCAGTATTTAATTGCTATTTCACGCTGGTATTCTGTGAGTGTGCGGTCCTTCCCCAGTCGAGCCGACCCAGTCGTGCTACAGCCATATTATAGCTACAGAATATCTTTTTTTACAGGTGGAAATCTAATTGTGACCCCTCCGATGAACAGTACTGTACTAGAAGGTGAGCGCGCCGAGCTCGAATGCTTACCTAAAGACCCCGAGTCTGTAGTGCAGTGGTACAAGGATGGCGTGCTGCTCAGCGAGCTCCCCGAGTTGGCGGAACGCTCGGAGCTTCCTCCGAACGGCAGTCTGGTGATACGCCTCGCGGTCAGCACCGACCTCGGCGAGTACCAATGTCGCTTGAGTGCACCCGATGGACAGATGCAAAGCGCCAGTGCATTTCTCGACGTACAGTGTGAGTTTGATTTCATGTTACTTTTTGTTTTCTACTCAACTTTAAGTATATTGACGTTTTTATTTATTACAGATAAGGCTAAAGTGGTCTATTCACCCAAAGAGCGTTATCTCCCGTTCGGCAAACCTGCGAGTCTAGATTGTCATTTTAGCGCAAATCCACCTTTGACTAATCTACGATGGGAGAAAGACGGCTTCCTTTTCGACCCTTACAACGTGCCTGGCGTGTTTTATAGCATGAACGGCAGTCTATTATTTAATCGAGTAAGTGATTCGATTTAAGATAAAGTTGTAAGTGGATGTTGCAATGATTCGACCAAAACTCAGGTAGGTATAACGCTAGAAAAAGCGAATTCCTTATGTTTGTGGGTTAATTACACGCAGCAGGCATACAGCTCCCTTAGAATACAGTACTATCGATGAAATGACAAAAATTTACCAAATTAAGAAAAAAAGAAAAATTTTACAGAAATGAAACATTTTTGTACATAATTTTTTTTATTGTTTTTTATTAATCAGTACTTAGTGTTGCCCCTTCTAATTTTTCGAACTGTTTCCAGTCTCCTTGACATACTTCTAATCAAGTTATTCATAAAATTTTGAGATTGGCGTGGCGTTTCAATCAGGCATTCTCAGCTTTATACCTACTAACCGTAGTTTCTTTGATTTTTTTTATTTGGTTCTACTAATATTGATATGAATTGTTAAATAAATAAAAGTTATTTCAGGTCTGTGCCTCTGGCTTCACCTTTCGCAGATTACCCACCGTTATCCTTTCATGTGTAGCCTGAATGTACCACTAGATGGCTCCGAAAGGGGCTTCGGGCCCTTACGGCCCCCTTGAAGGTTGTGACGGCTAGCGCAACCGGCTCGCGGATGCATTCCTCAGTACGCTGTCTTTTTCTGAGTGGTGTGTACAAGTCTATAACGTTGTGTAACGTTCGAATAAGTATTTAAATAATTGTGACAAGGAGGCAGAATATTAAGGAAAGGTAAGAACAATTTTATGTTTCAGTATATGCTATGCTATGCAGTATTTATGTCGTCAAGTGGCGTTTGTTTCGCCTCACTAGCAGCAGCCGTAAAGGCGCGCGAGGCGCAGCCGTCGAGGCACACGAGACGCAGCCATCAACGCTCGCCTGGCAAAGACAGGCAGCTCCCACGGGACTCCTTATCAGCCGAGATATCAGCTTAGCGGCCCAGCCGTAGCCTAGGCGTAAGGGCAGCCGAGGCGCAGCCGCTGCCATAGGCTAGGTGCAACGGTAGCTGTGGCGCAAACACAGCTGACGCGGAGCACCAGCGAAGTGCAGTTGAGGCGCAGCCGAAAAGCAGCAACGGCTCGAATAAATTTTTGCGCAATGTAAATGTTCGCCAAGATGTCCAAATATCTGAGCCTCATTACAGGCGCAATTATGAATAAAATGCTCGCAGACAGTCATCTCGAGCAAAATACTCGAATTTGGGTAGAGGATATCTCTTAATGAAGTCCTGGAATGTTTCAAATGGGTGGATAGCCAAGCTGGATAACAATGGAGGAATTGTTGGAGATATCAGCAGACACGGCAGAGGATGACAGAATTTTAGACCGGATTAAGATGATGGCGCAGGAATCGTTACTGGTTGGCTGGTTAAACTGGAAGTCGTTGGATCTTTCCAAAGAAGCTCTGTTTGGGAGTGAGCCGAATGTGGACCCCCAGATATTCAATAAAGTGCGTTTTACCTTGCCTACAGTAGGTTTGGCTCAAGCCTTTAATCCACTGGTGGCGGATTTACCAGAGAAACAATATCGTGATCTTAAGGTAGCCTTGTTGAACTGGTCCTTTTGTAGGGCACTCATAATTAATCCTCCGAGCTTAGTAAATAAACTTAATGGTTCGGTTGGGCAGGCGGAGTTTTTTTTGCATGCGACTTAACCGGTTAAGCCGTTTTGTATCTCACGTAAGCAAGCAGCAAAAAATCTCAAGGCTCAAGATTCAGATCCAGAGTCGGACCTAGTGAATGTTCATCCGAGTTTAAAAAGACCGAGTAACAATTCGGGTAATAAGAGTCCTGTGGCAAAGAGATCCATAGTAGCTGTACTGCGAGATGAGATGAAACATATGTTTGAAATCGTCTTGATTAAGATCCAGAAGATTGAGCAGCAGAATAAGAAAAAGGGGGGAGGAGAATTAAGTGAAGATGGGGAACAGTCAGATAGTCAGTTAGAGTGATTCAGTGATGACTCTCGTTCAGCAGGATTAGAGAACTGGACTCCGCCAGACTTACCAAAAGAACCGGTGAATGATCTTGAGGCTCTGTCCTTTGCACCTCAGGTGAAAGATAAAGAGCCTTCAATCCCTCCTCCAATAGCAGATATCAAGGTGCAAGGAGTTTCATGCCAGAAGTTTGGTTCCTCGGGTTGGAATAGGATCAGATACAAGGAAGTCCAGAAGAAGATTCATGTGTCACCAGTTTTCGACTCGCTGAAGGTTAACACGTAGTTGGAAGACTTAGTTTCGAAATTTTACAATCAAACGCTTTTGGAGCGAAAGGATGAGTTAACGGGGACTTTAACTCATGGCTTATAGAAACAAAGACAGAAACTGATGGAGGGTATAAAATCTTTGGCCACCAAACACCCGGGAGCTTATGAGGACATCAAGCAAGTGTTCTTAGGATAATCCCAGTACAAAGAGGTGTCAGATGATTTATTGCAGTTCACATGTGCCAGAAGAGCTGAGATTATTAAAGTGCGAAGAAAAGCCTTCAAACCGAAGGAACGGCACCACGGGGCAAAGCTGGCGGAAATCCCTCCATCGGAGACTCATTTATTCGATGAAGGTCTCCTCTCCAAATTTCTCGATCAGCGAGGTGGCCTGAGTAAAGTTTTTCCGCAATATCAAAGACGTTAAGGAGACGTTTTCTTATGGATAATCCTGATATATATCTTATAGATAATCCTGCTCAGAGGATGAGTAGTTCAGGGAATTCTTCCTATCAGAAAGTAAAAACACAGTCATCGTTTCGTACTTCCTTTTGTAAGCATACGGCTACAAAAGAAGTGACTCTGGAAAAAAAGACCAGAAGTCGAGTAGGCCATGACTGCAAGTTTAGGTTTAAAGATATTTATTACTCATTAAGACAAATGCATGTCACTTACATGAGTACATAGCTGAAGGTAAATTTCACAGTCGTTCACCAAATTAAATTCACCAAAAATACACACACTTCACCCGCGCAACACATTCACGATTATTTAAGTCAGTCATTTGCAACAAGATATTCATACAATTGTTTCTTGAATGTGTTGAACGAGCTAACATTTTTTATGTGTGCGGGTAATTTGTTATAAAGTTGCGCTCCTCCAAATGTTAACATTGTATTACCGTAATTTGTTCGAGTCTTGGGTAGGACGAGAAAACTCGCGCGACGAGAGCAGCAGCGGTTGTAAACCTTTTTACGTTTTACGAATTGTAAGCTAGTATGAATATCATTATTTAGAGATTTTCTTATAAAAATGCAAGTATTGTATATATAATTTTTTGAATATTAAATATTTTTGTTTCATTATAGATTTTTTGGTTTTTGTTAAAAAGTGATAATTAAAGAGCACTTTAATGAGTTTATTTTGTAAAATTTGAAGTTCACTTATCCTTGTCTTTACTGCTTTCCCTCAGACTTCGATGAGGTAGGTTAAATGTGGCTTTATTAGCGTGTTATATAATGTAAGACGTAATTTATTAGGAATGCATCGGACAATATGACGAAGACAACCACAAAGTGGCACCAGTTTCGTTTCTATGTGTTCGATGTGGTGCTTCCATGTTAAATGAGTGTCAATTTGTAAAAAGGTATTTTTCATGACTTTTCATTTCTAAGGGAATATTATTAATTTTTAAGCGGAGAGTGGGGGGGGGGGGAATGAATTTATTTTTTGGCCCTCAATAAAATATAACAAGTTTTTGAAATGTTTATGGTTAATAAGTTATATTGAAACCAATTATATAGGGTGTTTAAATCGTCTTGAACCTGCGACATCATGTCGTGTATTGATGAACCAAAGTAAAATAGGCAGGTATCATCTGCGTAAAGGGTAGTATGGCCATTTAAACCTAGGTCATGTATGTTGTTAATATAGGCCAAAAAGAGCAAGGGGCCTAAAATTGATCCTTGAGGAATTCCACAAGTTATTGGTAATGAATTACTTTGAATGTTGCCTATTTTGACTACTTGTGATCTATTTTCCAGGTATGATTGAAACATGTTCAAAACTTTGCTGGTAATACCGATTCTTTCTAACTTTTTAATAAGCAATTTATGACTGACCGTATCGAACGCCTTTTTTAGATCTATGAATATACCTAGGACTATATTTTTTTGATCTATGCTATGTTTTATTTTAGTTATAAGATCAATTGTTGCATTAAGTGTGCTACTTTTTGGCCTGAAACCATATTGTCGTTCAGATATAAAGTTAATAGAGTTAATAGAGTCAGATACTTTTGTAATCTTGTGTGTAAAACCTTTTCAAGAACTTTTGATAAAACTGGCAACACTGAGATAGGTCGGTAATTGACTGGATCAGTTTTTGGTCCTGATTTGTAGATAGGAGAGACTTTAGCTACATTTAGTGTATCTGGGAAAACACCATCAAGAAGTAATTTATTAAACCATTCCGTTATTTTGTTTATTATCAGATTTTTTATACATTTTATAATTTTGGTACTAATTCCGTCTAAACCGATGCTGCAATTTGGGTCAATATTGTTAATAATATTTAAAATTTCTTGTTCAGTACATGGTTTGAATTCCGACATTTGTGAGTTTTGTTCGGTAGATTTGGGCAAGGCCTGAATGTAGTTATCATGAAATTTTAAAGGAATTTTATTTGCTAAATGTGTACCTATTGTTGAGAAATATTCGTTAAAGACTTGACAGATATGGTGAGAGTCTATTATTTCTCTTGAGTCTACTGCAAGCTTTGAAGGAGTGCAGCTTTGTTTGATTTTATTTGTTGACAAATTGTTTACTACATTTCTTCCACATTTTCTTGGCATTGTTACTATATTTGGCAAATTCTTTGTCGTAGTATGATTCCTTCGTGACTTGGATTAGTTATACAGCTTGGTTTCTTTTTGACTGAAATATTTCCTTTAAAGCGTTATCATCTGGAGTTTTCTTGAGCTCGGCCCATAAAATGTTTCTTCTGTTTATTTCAGTTATTACATTTTTATTTATCCAGTCCTTTTGCGGCTGGATAAGGATTTTAGTTTTTACTACTTTAC